CCTATTCGAAATGAATCTTGAAAGGTGTCAACCTTACCCTTAGTTCGAATTTGGTTTGTGACAATGCTAAGAAAAATGAAATCGCTCGGAATTCTGTGGCACGGCGGAAATTTCTAAGCGGAATTCCTCTGCGCGGTTTCCCATTTCACTAGTGATTTCTGTTGCACCCCTGATAATCATTATTTTTGATCAAAATGATGCTTACAGATCAACGATGCAACCTCGCTGACGAGTCATTGTCAAAATTACTTTTTGTAAAATTGAATAATACTTGCAGACCCGCGCGCTTCGCTGCTTACTAAATGAATTTAATGTTTAGGAATTCATAGAAATTAAAAAATGATAATTTTTATGTAATGACATATTTTATATATTGCAATGCTTTGTGATAAACAATATTCATTGTTTTGCCGTCGGTACAATGAATAATTAATGCCGAAGGTTTGCCTACTCGTGAGCACGCTACATACAGTTGACCATGTGAAAATAGCGGATGCTCCAAATTTAAACCACAAAATTGCAACGACTGTCCTTGTGATTTATTAATAGTCATAGCAAAAGCAAGACGAATCGGAAATTGTAGTAGTTTGAAATCAAATGGCATGTCAGTCGGAATCATCGGAATTCTCGTGTTCACCACAAAAATTTCCCAGTCAAAATAGTTGCTTCAAGTAAATAGTCATAACTTTTTTCACAGCAAGTCTTGTACCATTGCAAAGTCGTGGTGGAATAAGATTCCGCAGCATGATTATGGTGGCTCCAACTTTTACTTGTAAATAGTATGGCGGCAATCCAGGTAAGTCCAATGAATTTAGAAATTCGACTGGATAATTTACAGCATCATCTTGATTGATAATTGTATCAACCGACCTATACGCAACCATTTCTCCTGGGATGGAATTCAAAATAGATGCGTTGATCTCATTGACATCTTTATTTGCTCCGGCCAAAATTGCTCTGAATCAAGTATTCCTTCGATAACACAAAAGTGCAAAAATTATTCGGAAGCGTTATGAAGCCAGAATTGTCAACGGGAAGTATGCTATTACCAATGTCTAACAGTTGTCTGGAAAACAAATCTGCTGAAGCATCCTTTTGCAATTGAACACGTACATTGGTAGTCAATCTAAGTGTTTTCACAGAGCGCCACAAATTAGATGTTTTCAAACACGCATTAATTTCATCAGCAGAAGTTCCTAGTTTGACTACAGGCAATGTTTGTCTGAAATCACCTGCTAACAATATCAATGCACCACCAAACAATCGATTATCTTCACGAATATCTTTCAACGTACGATTAAGTGCTTCCAGTGACTTCTTGTTGGCCATAGTACACTCATCCCATACAATAAGAGAGCATCTGGTATTTTGTTGTTGTTTTTTTTTTCAGAGGTAGTGCTGCTTTTTTTCACATAACTTAAGTAGCTTTTATCTGCTTGCATAGATGTTTGCAGTTCCGAAAAGCTGACAAATGCAACTCTAAATCGTTCCCAGACACTTGGTATTTGCAGCTTACCGCCTGGAAGATATTAAGCTTTCAAATTAAAATTTCATAATTTTTGATGTAAAATACTTAAGTTATGTGAAAAAAAAATCACTAAGTTCATGTAAAATTATTTTTGAGCTGTTTTGGTCAAACGGCTGCAAATTGACCGTTTATCCATAGATTCTAATGAGCAATACCTCAAACGACGCCCAATTAATGCGTCTATCTAAAACCAAAAATGTTGGCCAAGAATTTTTTTTTCGACTTTTCCCGAGAAAAATTTACACCATAAAAAAATAATAAAGTACTACAAAAATTTTTAAATCCCGAAATCTATCAGAAAAAGTCATTTTGGTTGACAGCCCAAATCAAAAGTTCAATTTTGTCGAGTAGTGTTATCATTGAAGAGAAACGTAAAAAATCAGAAATAAAAAAAATCATAGCGGAAATGCAGAGAGTGCAAAAAAACAAAGATTTTGGTGTAATTCATTTTTTAAAACTATTATAAGTATGTGATTTTTTTATTAAAAAAAAAATAATAATCAATATTTACGGCCCCTGCAAAATATATAAGGACACAGGATATATCATTTTTTCGACTTTTCCTGAGTTTTTAAAGTCAAAATTTTGAAAAAAAAAAAATAATAATAATGCACAAAAATCATAAATTTTGCACTTGAAAGCTTAATATTTCCCAGACGATAAACCGAAATCACAAAGTGCTAAAATCTAGTTTATAGCTGATTTCATTACAACTTAATTTAAGGTACTTAAGTTAAGTGCAAAAAGGAGCGCGCGCTACCTCTGAAAAAAGCTTAAAAATAAAATACTAATTTTTAAGAATTCTTTAAAAAAAGTTCTGACGACAAAAAAAGCAGAATTCTTAAAAAAAAAAAAATGGAAAGCCCAAAATCTATTAGAAAAAGTCGTGTTGGTTCCTTGAGGAAAAGAAAATTTCATTTTTAGTTTTATCATTGCTAGATAGAAGAAATTAATATGCTTCGCTACCCCCTTCCAGAGTTGTAGTGCTAACTCATCCTCTTTCTCGCTCACACATTCTTCATCGTGCAGAGTGCGCCCTCTCGCGGAGGAGTGTGAGCTAGAACGGCGTTTTCTGAATTAATCATTTTTGAACCCGGCTAGGTATAAGTCTGAAATGCAATGCATATATTTTCAATACTTAAAATAAATTTTTAAAAGAATAATTAAAGTAGGCGTGTCACTGGAAGGGGCAGTTTTCTACAACAAATCTTAACTTTTTATAAATTTGTACTAGTTAAATTTAAAAAAAAATTAAAAAAAAAGAAAATGATTTATTTTGCACTTTCTGAGCTGATAGCACGCAAAGTTAACGTCCAAACAACGGAAAGTAAAAAGATTGAACAATTAAACGTAAAATAATAGAACTGTCCTGATATCGATTTTTTTTAGGTTTTTGAATCATGAGATAGAGATGCAATCGAAGCGTTTTTAAAAACTGTGCAAGAAAAGCCTTTCCATTAAATGGCTAATGCATAATAGATTTGTTTTTATTTGCTGTTAATTTACCGGATCCCGAAATTTCCGCACTAAGGCAATTAAGAGCCGTTCCGGATTTAAAATTAGTATATTCAGAAATGGTTTCCCCATTTTAAAATAGGGACAATTTCTTCTTTAAATATTAAAATATTTAATTAAATGCATATGCATATACATATGGGCAGTTCCTATCTGGCGTTACGTTACATTCGTACGACAAAATGTTGAAAAAAATATTTAAAAAACTGAAATTTGCAAAAATTATCCTCGTTGAATTTAATTTGGTTAGACCTATATTCACCAGAAAAATGGCAATAATCGAGCGTACGGTTTTAAAGATATAAGCCAAAGTATGACCTAAAAGTGCGTTACATAAAACAGAAGTGGTTTTCGAGGTTGGGGTACAAAATGGCAAAACTCTGCGAATTGGATAGGGCTATCTGTATAACATTTTTTGTGATAATAAATGAAGTATTGAGAGTTAATTTTCAAATTTATTAAATGTGAAAATTTTTCTCTTTTTTGTTAAAAATGCGTGGAGGCATCTGGCGAACGTTACTGGCGTGACGTTACCAAATTCCGCGATTATAAAAGCCTAAAAATATACTGTTAGCCAAGGTTCGACCAACGGTCTGATAATGGTTTTAGATAGTTTAATATATTAGAAAGACTTTAACGATAAACTTTTATCAAGAATCATCTTCCTAGGAGATAATAGTAAAAAAAACATGTCTATAAAAATACCAGAAAATCCAAAAACGTGAACTTTGGCTTATTTTTATAGGTTTTAGGATGAAAAGTAATGAAATTATTTGTGAATAAAGTAAATAAGTTACCTTTCAAAAAATTTAGAAAAAAATATCCGGAAAAAATTATATGGAAATCGGTGTTTATTGACTTTTTATGATTTTTGGCCTGGTGGACCTTTTGGCGGAACTGCCCATATGTACATATATAGCACGGGGTCGTGACTTTGCCAAACTAAAATTTACGTATTTGTACCATTCATAAGGTTGTGATTGTTAATTGTTAGCTAGTTGGAATCTTAAACAAAGAATATATTGAGCAACATCTCTACAGCGTTCTCTAATGGCCGACTACGTAGGGCCGTTAAGTTAGCATTGGTTGGAATAGCTAATATCCCCTGAGAGGTGCAATTGTGACAATGGTTTTTTTTATTTGCTGAATATCGCCACTATTTTTTCGTGTAGTCCAATGCTCGGCCAAATATGGCCTTTTTTTTAATATGCTGCTAAAAATTGTAAATTGGGGAAACTTTACGTTGTTTTTTTTTTAAATCGAATAAAATATAATCGCAAGATATTTTTCTCCTATTTTATTTTTAAATAAAATTTTAAATTTAAGTACTTTTTGAGAAAAATGCATTTAAAATTTGTTTTTTTTTAATTATAATAGCTTTTTTGGTTTTAAATAGCTTGATCAATTTCCAATTGAAGTGTAACAAAAGTTTTGCCATATTTAACAACATGAGATCCGACTTTTGTAAAGAGTTTTCGGAAAACGAGCCTCTGTGCGGCGTGTTGGTCTGAGAATAAAGAGACAGCGGAATTAAAAACAATAGCGGAAACATGGGAACAGATAAAATATTTTAAAATCCGTCTGATTTAGTTCCGGGTATAAAAACAGAGTCGCGGCTTCAGACGCGCCACGCAACATTCCCCCTCGTTTAATTTTATTCTGATTCTGATTTTTTCATACGGCATCTGCGCTTATAAGGTCCGGTCTTTGTCTGTAAACTCTTGTTATATAAAACTGAATCAAGTGTATTTACCATTTTTACCACAGCCCTTGAAGTCGTGAATTCTTGTGGCTCCACTGCATTTATTCAATTTGAATATCTTATGACACCAGGAACAAGAATTTTAGTTTGCTAGATTTCTTTTCTTCGTGAAAAATTTCATTTATCAGAAATATTCAAGAAAATAACTAAAATTAGTTATATCATTAAAATATGTCTATTATTCGTAATTTTCAGATTAACCTTCGTTTAATCCTCGTTAGTGGGAAAACCAAAGAATTTATATTTAACCCATCAGATTCTGCTGGCGATATTGCACAAACAGTATTCGATAATTGGCCAACTGGTAAGTATATTCATTTGATATATATATGTGGATTGGAACTTATCTTCTTTGAATAAGATTCCCTCCCCTCATATGCTGCTTGAAATTATCCTTACAAATTAATTATTTCTTTTAATATTTTGTCTTTATTCATATAATTATATATATAAGGGTATTTAACTTAAGTTTCACAATTTCCTAATTTTTTTTATAAATTTTCTCCGAGCTGAGCATAAACAACCTCTTCCTCTCGAAGCCGGAACCACTAACCATACAGTATATAGATGTGCCAGTTCATACACCGAATGTGTCGCAGCTAAATTTTCCGTCCCAGCGCCCTAGGGCCTTCGGCTGGCGTGCTGGGACCATTCGGCTGTAGAGCTGAGGCATTCGGGTCGAGAGCTGGGCCATTCGGCAAGTTGACGACATGTTCGACTCATGACGGGATGCGAAAGCAAGACGAGCCTTGAAAATGTTTGTGTGTACAAAGGCATGACAAAATATTTATCAATTCTTATTTTCCGAAACCGTTTTAGTTGTGAGTTTCCAGGTTACGTAAATGTGTGTGTGCCACGTATGCTCACATAATGTGCTTGTGTGGTGGGTTTTACAATTTTTGGAAGCTTGAACCGAAATTAGTTTTTCGTGTTGTTTTGAGGGCTGATGTAGCGACCTGAGTCGACCTGCCGCAACATAAATGAGGAATGGGCAGAGTAGGTGGGGGTGGGCGTGGGAAATAAATAAAATATAAAAATAAAAGATGTTATTTGTTTTATTTATTTGGAAGTGCACGCTTACATATACATATATCTATATATAAATTAAATGCGAATGTACATAAATATTGTGCAAATGCCGTCGGCTTTCGACTTTGCAACTTTGCCAATAAATTCCTTTTTTTTTCAGAGAACTTTGTTATTTATTTGTTATTGATACATATAAAAACGAGAAGGAACGTGCGAGTCGCTTCTGGGGACGCGACTCTACTTATACCCGTACTCAGTCAGTATATACATTTTTGAGCATATGATTTTTTTGAATTTTAGAATTAAAAAAAAAAATTTTACATTTTACTATTTTTTGCTACATCTTTTATCTACATCGACATATATTATGTATATTCTACATCTAACATGTAGATTATACATGTACCATTTAGATTCTACATCTCCTCCGCTAGGGGTTGCTCGCGCACTGAACGCGGCAGAGTGTGCGAGCGAGAAGGAAAATGAGTTGCTTGGTCGTCGTCAGGAGGGGGCAGGGGAAGCAACTGAAAATGAATTTCTTCATTCTGGCTATAAGTATACTCCGATCATACTCTTGATCAGATTCGGCAATCTGGTAGATATGGTCATTCTCTACGATACTGCGTTTTTTGTTTCAGCGTATCTTTAAAATTGTGGCTGCCACAGATTTTCGTTCTTTGTGTGGGCGGAAGGGGGCGGGGCGAAATTTTGAAATACACTTGTAGCAGTGTTTTTTTAATTTTTGTTATTCATAGTAATAGTAACCTAAGGATATATACATATAACTATAAAAATATACGGTAAAGAATAAAAACATAATTAATACGTATATATGAACCAGACTTGCGGGACTGCCGTGAAGCATTGCTTCACAAGGCTGGCTAGCCTGTTACGGCCGCTCGTTTCTGATACGTTCCAGACGTCTTAGCTCTGTCGCGATCTCCGTCGCAAGGCTGCAAATCGCCGTCCAATTTTGTTGGCTTTCCAGCATAGCTGGTACCAGGCCTTCTACTGTGATGGGCACCCCTAGAGTGCCCTCTAAAAATCTGACGCATGTGGTCAGGACATGCTCAGCGTTTTCTTCCACCCCACAGCTGCTGCATAGCTCGTCTTCCTCGTGGCCAAAGCGATGTAGGTACGACTTAAAGCACCCATGTGCACTCAGAACCTGCGTCAGTGCGAAAGTTAGTTCCCCATGCCTCCGATCTATCCACGCCTTTATGTCGGGGATTAGGCGGTGTGTCCAGCGGCCAGTCTCCGCTCTATCCCATTTATCCTGCCATCTATCCAGGCATATGGACCTCGCTCTGCTCATGGCTGCTCTGTCGTCTTCTTGCGTGATGGCGGCCTTCCTCTCCATGTAGTTTGTCCTGGCTTCCATCGCTGCCAGTTGGACGGGTAGTATGCCGCTTATCACCAGAACTGCCTCTGTGGAGACTGTGCGAAAAGCCGCACTGATCCGCAAGGCTCCAAGTCTTATGTCAGACTCTATTCCCTTGGTATAGCTTTTGGTGCTCGTTGCCTGAGCCCATATCGGCGCGGCGTATAGTATTGACGACTTTGCTACGTTGAAGAGAAGTCTCCTGCTCGTCGACTTCGGGCCTCTATTGTTCAGCATCATGCGGGATACAGCCATAATGACGCCGTGTGCCTTCCGGTGTGTCTCCTGCAGGTGCTCTCTGAATGAGAGCCGGTTGTCCAGCATGACTCCGAGGTACCTGATGGCTCTTTTTGAGATAATGCAGGTTCCTCCTACCGTTATCCTCGCCGTCTCAACCTGTTTCCTGCTGCTGATTAGGACCGCTTCCGTTTTGTGCTCGGCCAGTTCAAGTCCTGCCTGGTTTAGCCAGCCACCTATGGTTCTGATGGCCTCGTTCATTGCGGTTTCCGTTTCCTCCAGTGTCTTCCTGACGACCGTGACCGCGACGTCATCAGCAAAGCCGACAATCTCTACTCCGTCTTGGAAGTCCAGGTGCAATATTCCATCGTACATGGTATTCCACAGTAAGGGTCCCAGTACGGATCCTTGTGGGACCCCTCCCGTGATGAAGTATGTCCGTGGGCCATCGTCGGTATCGTATTTCAGCCATCTATCATCCAGGTAATCGCTGACGACTGCTTGCAGATAATCTGGGATTCCAAGTCTCCTAAGGGAGGACAGTATCCTGCTCCAAGATGCGGAATTAAAGGCGTTCTTGATGTCCAATGTGGCCACCAAGCAGTATTTTTTGGCCCCACCGAGCCATCTCGTGCCTTCAATAGCCTTTTTTGCTGTGCTACACACCTTGTCCAGTGCATCCAGGGTTGAGCGAGCCTTCCTGAATCCGTACTGACTGTCGGATAGTCCCCCAGAGTCCTCTATTGCTTTATTTAGCCTTCCGCTGATAATGCTCTCCAGCACCTTGCCTGCACTGTCGAGGAGGCAAATGGGCCGGTATGCCGATGGATCCTCTGTGTCTTTCCCTGGTTTTGGGATCAGCACCAGCTTTTGCTGTTTCCATCTTCCAGGGAAGCAGCCGTCTGTGAGACACCTGGTGTATGCCTGCGCGAAAGTTTCTGGGAACATACTTATGGCCAGTTTGAGAGCCCGATTTGGGATGCCGTCAGGTCCTGATGCTTTGATATTTGGAACGCTCTGTGCTATCTTGAGCACCTCTTGTATTGTCACCGGCGGCACTCGGTGCCCCGAACCGGCAGTCCTGTCTATCTCTCTGTCTTGCGCTGGGAATAGGTGCCTGACGATCACTTCTAGTCTTCCACTATCTGTTGGCGCCGGGTTTTTGAATCCACCTGTCTTCTTCATGACCACTTTGTAGGCCTTGCCCCAGAGATCATTTTCTGCTTCGTCACAGAGCTCTAGGAAGCATCGTTTTTTACTTGTTTTTATCTCCCTCTTTAGATTCTTCCTCTCTTGGGTGTATGCCTCTCTGAGGGCTTGGAAGTTATCTGCTCCCCGGGATCTGTGGTATGCACGTCTGGCGCCTATGCATTTACGGCGGGCCTCCTCACTTGAGTGGTTCCACCAATAGATCGGCTTATGCCCCTTGAACGGTTTGCTGCGCTCCATGCTGGCTTCGCATGCCCCTTTAAGCTGGCCCATGATGTAGCCCACCTCGTCTTCTTCACCTTCCATCTCTGCTAGTCCTGCTATGGCTGACCGAAAAACGGATATGACCAGAGTTTCTTCCTTGTAGTGTCCCCTCGTGGCAGTCTTTGGGGCGGCTCTTCGGGCCCGCGTGGTGCAAAGGATAGCAGTGTGGTCGCTCGCGGTGTACTTATCGCTGATCTGCCATGTCGTGGTCGCTGCCAGGCTGGAGCTTATGTAGGTGAGGTCGATAATCGATTTGGTCCCTGCTCTGCTAAATGTAGGCGTGGTGCCGGCATTTTTGAGGACTATATCCAGCGAGGCGAAAGCCTCCACCAAGACACGACCCCTGGCGTTCGTTATGGTGGACTCCCATTCCGTAGCCCAGGCGTTGAAGTCGCCCGCTATAAGCGATGGCGAGTGTGCCCTTATGTCGCTAGCCAGTTTGTCTACTGCGGCGCTGAACTCCTCGAGTGGCCAGCTGGGTGGCAAGTAACAGCTGTATATCCATGTGTCTTTCAGCTTCGCTCTAACGAAACCTTTTGCGCTTCTTACTCCGTCTAGATGCTGGGCCGGTTGGCCACACATCCAAATTGCCGCTTTCCCCGATTGATCCGTGACCCACGTGTTGGATCTCACGGTTTTATAGGGCTCGCTCAGCAGTGCCAGGTCGATGTTAAGCTCTTTTAGGGATTGGGCGAGGAGGTCCTGGGCCATCCTGCAGTGGTTTAGGTTAAGTTGGAAAACCCTTAGCATTTTGACGATTTTACTGCCTCGCGGTACGCCGGGCACTTGAAGCTTCCGGACGCATGGTCAGTTGGACTGCCCTTTGTTTGTGCGCAGAGTAATCAGTGTGGGTCGTTTCTGCAGTTTCTGGCCTCATGGTCTTTTTCTCCACATCTGAAGCATGCTCCTCGGAGGTCCTTTCGTCCGGTGCAGTTCAGCGAGATGTGTCCGAATTCCAGGCACTTAAAGCAGCGTTTTGGTGATATGATTGGCTTTATGCGACATATTACCCATCCTATTCTTATTTTTGTCTTCGCTACAAGGGCATTTGAAGTGCTTGTCGGCAAGCATAGTGTGGCTATCTGCATTCCACTTCTTGTAGTTCGTAGCGATTTCACCGCGTCTTCGGTTATTGTGGTTCCTTCTAGGGCCATTTGGACTGCTTCCAGTACCTCCGTCTTGGT